AAATCAATACCTTCTTTTAGCTGGAAACCTCCACTAAAGTATTGCAGTAAGTTGATTCCAAGCATAGCTTAGTAAAAAATAAATTGCTTCTTCCAGAGCTGCAGATCTGCATCTGAGCATGCGCGACCACACCCAAATTTTGGAGCACATGGCAAGCTTGAAGCTTCTTTAATTAACAAAATGGCGGCATGTAGCTAAGATGGCTCGATCCAGCAGTCACAGCATCACTTTTTCCTTACTTGAAGAATGATCTGATGGGACATGGACCTGCGCATAGACTGTTGGAGTAGATTGGTGTAAGAATTATTCTTGTAGCACCAACTGATACTGAGATACACACCGACAACTGGATTGACAGGACTTGATTATGAAGATGAAGATGATGATGAAGATGAAAAAAGGTGGCTGAACAAAACGGCCGGTTTGCCGATTTTTGACTTTTCGCTTAGACAAGGTCTAGAGCCACGCTAGTGGTACCATTGGAGTCCTCTGGTCAAGATAAGGTCCTCTATAAAGTCTGGTAAGCATAGGAGCTCGTTTTCCCGGTATAGCAAGGCTGCAAAAGTCGTGGCAGCCATTTTGTTTGGGGGTGAATCCTACTTAGTAACGCTGCCGCGTTACTAATAGTACAGGGATTTTGGCAAAATTTTGTCAAAAATGAGAAGGAGAGAATTTCCTATTTCTATAATTTTTTTCTAAAACATATTCATGTTTTTATGTTGTGTAAAAAGTTTGAACTGATTCCAATCAATTTTGGATTTTTTATGAATTTTTAAAGTTGTAAAAATTAGACAAAAATACCCTGTACTACAGGCAGTACAGGGTAATTCATGTATTCAAGTACATGTACATTATTTTGTCAAGCAAATTAAAAGACGGTGAAATTAGAATCTATCTCACATGTTTGTCTCCTCTTTTTGCAGCTTTCTTTATCTCAGCTTCCTATTAATAATTAATAATCTTAATAACTAACCCCACCCACTCATTAATCAATTACCAGTTGCTTCTCTTGCCTCTCCAACTGCCCACGGTCTCTCTCAAGCTCTCGTCCTGTTTTCTTTAACACTTTCTGCTGCTGTCGCATTTGCTCTGCAAGTAAATAAACACAAAAAACACTTAAACTCACTCTACATGACTAAAACTACATACATGTATATAACCTTATTAAAAGAAATATAAGCACCCTTACCTTTAGGATCTGTTTTTCTAAAGGCCATTGCTTCTTTCTTGTCTCTCTGAGCTCTGTCTGTTCCTATTCACATGACCAAATCACAAGAAATACTTGTGATCTTTTTGCACTGCTGATTAATGCTGACGTCATCAACCACGCCCACACGAGACTGCGCCCATTTCACGGGCACGCCCCATTACGTCATTGTTGATATTACTCTAATTAACGCCCTCCCTCAAACAGTGACCCAACCCAATAAAAAACTGAAAAAAGCTCTCCCTGTCTCCCTCTCTCTCTTCATATTGAGCTTCAGATATTAACGAGTGTGTACTTTAATGTCTTACCACAGCTGGACGCTACCAGCTAGGACTAGCCCTCTACCTCCACAAGGCAAGAGAAGGGCCTTAACCGCCTCCTCTCTCTCTCTCTCTACTCCATTTTAACTTCTTGTTTTCTTTCCACAGGGTCAGGCTGGGGTGCCAGTGGTGGTAGTGATGAGCAGTTATTCTATTCCCTTGGGCCAGTTAATGGCATGATAGGAGGTAGGACTACCTGTTTTTTTACAATTTTACATGTACTATTACATGTATGATACATACTGTACATGCACATGTACATGTACATGCATGTGTGTCTCAATACTTGTTTAGTAAGTAGTGCAATTAATTTTATGCTAAAGTTAATTTAATAATTGGATATACATGTACATGTAATTGCATGATATTACATGTAATTTTAGAGCGAGCAACTTAAATTTGGAAAATTTGTCAATTTGATTCTCATTTGCCAATACAAGAATATTTACTACTAAAAGTCTTTAATATATGCATGCATGCATCATTATTGTATGTACATGTACATGTACTTACATGTATAGCTGGTACATGTAATTTAAGAGTTTTAAAACTTTGAATGTGCAATAATTTCTTTGCCGTTTGCCAAAATTAAATCCACACATTTGTACTATAATACTTGACTCGTGGCTGCCAATTTGTCCAATTGAAATTCACCAATTATCGTCAAAATTCCATCCCTTTAAATGGATACATGTGCATGTCGGTTTTTAAACAATAATTGATGAGTTAAATTAATTCTATTAAGAATTCTATATGTACATGTACATGTGCATGTACGTACAGTACATGTACTTGTTTTTTTTATTTGTAACAAAATACACGTAGGTGCATGTACATGTACACTGTACATGAATGTAAACCCTGGCACTTTGGTTTGTTTGTAAATATTAGTACACTACATGTAGACACATGCATACATGTACATGTAAATTATGTACGTACATGTACATGTACATGCATTGCTATAAATGCTGTTAATTACAGATTGTAATGTACAATGTACATGTATTATCTCATTATACCTGTACACTTACATCTAGTTGTATTAAAAAACATTTACATGTACATGTACTAATACATGTAACTTGCCTTAAGGTAAAATGCCAAATTAAGAAATACATGTGTGTATGATGTGAT